CACCCCCGCCGACCTCGAGATCGTCAAGGGCTTCGCCGAGGCCGTCGTCCAGCAGGCCGAGGCCCGCCGCGCCACCGCCAACTACCTCGACAAGAAGATGTCCGTCGTCGCGCCCAACCTGCAGACCCTCATCGGCACCCCCGTCGCCGCCCGCCTCATCTCCCACGCGGGCTCGCTCACCGCGCTGTCAAAGTACCCGGCCTCGACGCTGCAGATCCTCGGCGCCGAGAAGGCCCTCTTCCGCGCCCTCAAGACCAAGAGCAACACCCCCAAGTACGGCCTGATCTACCACTCCAGCTTCATCGGTAAGGCCTCCGTCAAGAACAAGGGCCGCATCTCCCGCTACCTCGCCAACAAGTGCTCCATCGCCTCCCGCATCGACAACTACACCGAGAACCCCACCACCAAGTTCGGCGAGGCCCTGCGCCAGCAGGTCGAGGACCGTCTCGAGTTCTACGCCACCGGCAAGAAGCCCGCCAAGAACGCCGACGTGATGGTATGTTTTGTTTCCTTATCCTCCAGCAGAACGCAGCTAACCCAACCGCGCGTAGGCTTCCGTCCTCGAGCAGGTCGAAGGCGACCTCGACCTCGACGACGCGGAAATGGTCGACGCCGCCGCCGAGGAGGTCAAGAAGGAGAAGAAGGACAAGAAGGAAAAGTCCAAGGACAAGAAGGAGAAGAAGGAGAAGAAGCGCAAGCGCGACTCCGAGGTCGCCCCAGCCGTCGAAGAAGAGCCCGAAAAGGCCGACGGGGAAAAGAAGAAGAAGAAGAAGAAGTCCAAGGACGAGTAAAGGAAGAGACGAATCGCCATCGCTGCCGCGCAAAATACCCCCTTTTTCTGCGCGCAATGGGTTTGCTCCAAGGAGGGTCTCTTCCCCAGATCCCTCGACGACATGTTCTACAAAAGAATCTTCCCATCTTTTCCTCCCCTAGGTCATCAAAAAGAAACCTCATGTTACAAAAAAACTTACGGCGGCACATAGGTTTTTTCCTCACGGCATTGGGACTTGCTTCTTCTCCACCATCCTGTCTTCTCTTTTTTTTCTTTCCTACCTTTTCTGTTTGGGAGTTATCAGGGCAATGAACATTGGGCTTGTCGGAGTTTGTTTAGGCTGCGCGGATGCGAAAAAGAGAAAGAGAAAAAAGGATGTTTAATGCATATATATGATGTATGTGTATGTGTAACACCAGATCTTTACCCGTTCCCGAATGCGCCGCGCCCCTCTGATGATGATGTTTGAATTTGCTGTGAGTGTAAAAAGTGGACGCCGTCTGTCTGATGAGCACCTCTTAGTGTTTGTGGACTGAATAAGCCGAGGGACCTCTCATGCCTCAATCACCATCTTGCAACTTTCAGATTGAAACACAATGGCATGTTCAACCCAAGTAATTTGTATCTTATGCTTTGGAAAAGTTCTGTAAAAAGGGGAGAGAAGCCTTCTCTCCGTCTTTGCTGGCTACCACTTTTTTACGCTTTAAAGAATAGGGAAGACTGCGATGCAGATATTTGGAAACAGAACAGAACAGAACAGTAGTAGTAAAAAACAATAATAGAATAAATTTCCCCAACCCAATGCCGGCCGTTTACAAAACGCCAGAGGACGCCGATTTCTTTCCGCCCCTCGCCTGGTCCTGCTTGCCTGCCCCCTTGAACTGACGACAGCCACACAACACATACTATCTGCATCAATACCGAATTTCCGCCTCCGCCGCCCGTCGAGTCTGATATTCTCTGTGCCAGTCTCTTTCCTCTCATTCAAAAACACGAGCAATGTCTTCTCGTCGAAGCGTTCACACTGTAGTCGTCTTTTTTCGCGTCCAGCTTCCACCCCCAAAACCCATGTAAAGAAGGCGTTCCGCCAGGCTCATGCGCCCTCGCTGCCAAACTCGTTGGTCCACTCTATTTGCTTGGCAGCGTCGTCGTCGGAGACGGTGGGATGCGACTCCTTGAGAGCCTGCTTGAAGTCCTTGAGCTCGATGATGGGCGCCATGAGCTCCTCCGAGTCGACGTCGTGGTACGTCATCTCCTTAGCCTCAGGGTCGCCGGGGGAGCAGGGCGTGAGTTTCCTGACGCCGTCGACCATGACCTGTTATGCGAATTAGCAAAAGTTTCTCGCAAGCAATCTAGCGTATAGCGTCACAACAGAGTAAACATACCGGCTTGAAATGCGTCGCCTGGATAATCTTCCTCACGGGACCCATCAACGCCTGCTGCACCACGTTGGAGATATCACTGCCTGAGAAACCATCCGACATCTCCGCGAGCACGCGGTAGTCGTCCGCCTGCAGGTTCGTCTCCGTGTCGCCGATGGCGAGCTTAAACATCCTCGCGCGGCCATTGGCGTCGGGCAGGCCGATGTGCACGCGGCGCTGGAAACGTCTTCGGATCGCGGCGTCGAGCTGCCAGGGGATGTTGGTCGCGCCCAGCACCAGGATGCCCTTGCTGTCGTTTCCGACACCGTCCATCTGCACCAGCAGCTCCGTCTTGATACGTCTCGACGCCTCGGACTCGCCCTCGCCACGGGGCCCGCACAGGGCGTCGATCTCGTCGATGAAGAGGACCGAGGGCTTGTTTTCTCTCGCCATGCTGAACAGAGCCTTCACGAGCCTGTGTAACAGGGTGTCAGTCGTTGAAGATTGGGATAACACGAAGCAACTCACCTTTCACTCTCTCCCATCCACTTGCTCACCAGGTCTGAACTGCTCACGCTGAAGAAGGTACTGTTCGCCTCCGTCGCGACCGCCTTGGCCAAGTAACTCTTTCCCGTTCCCGGCGGGCCGTACAGCAGGATACCCTTCCACGCCTGGCGCTTGCCCTGGAACAGCGAGGGGAACTTGATGGGCAGCACAACGGCCTCCTTGAGCGTATCCTTGGCGCCCTCGAGACCGGCGACGTCGTCCCACCGCACGTTGGGGCGCTCCTGGAGGATGGCGCCGCTGAGGGCGTTGCGCAGCTTCTTGTTGTCCTCGTCGCCCTCGTCGGCGTTCGCCTTGCCCTTGCCGCCGCCGTTAACGCCCATGGCACCAGGCTTCCCGCCGCCGCCTCCCCCGCTCTTCTTCTGCTCGGCCTCGGCCAGGTACGTCTTGAGCTTCTCGGCGCGGTCCATGTACTCGGCCGTCTTTTGGCGGATGAGCTCCTTCGACTTGGGGTTCTTCTCCCACTTGACGGCGAGGACGAAGAGCTCGAGGGACTTTGTGTAGAGCTGGAAGGCCTTTTCGTACTCGGCGGCGTTGTCGGCGTCGATGGCCTGCTTGACCGTGCTGATGGCACGGCCGAGGAAGTCGGTGATGCCCGACATGGTTGCGGTTCTGCGTCGAAGTCGCTGTCGTCGGCGGGATTGCGTGTTTCTTCGTTGGGCGGCGAGTTTGCGAGCGACTCGTGATAAGGATGCAAAGAGCGGGGAAGCTTGTTGTGTGCAGCCGCCGCGCTGTCTTGTTCCCGTTTGGAGGGGACGCTTCGCAGTCGGGATGGGGTTGGGTAGGTAGACGGGGTGGATGTTCGATTTGGCCCCGGGGGGAGGATTGCGTCGGCGCTTGGCACTGGCTTGTCAGGGTGCGGTTGAGGGATTGAGGACGCTGATGCGGGCGATTCTGTGACGTTGCCTGGGCGGTTCGTGATGCCAGACACTGACGCTAGAGGTGCCTTGTTGGCTGGTGGGGGTGGGGGCCTTGAGGTGTATAGATGCATATGCTGGATTGGGTGATGGAGGCTGCTTAGTGCGATCTTCTTTTGAGGTGTTCTATGTAGGCAGCAGTCAGGTTGACGACTGGTTCCTGTTCCGGCATTAGACATATACTATAGACCACCTAGAGAAAACTAAAACATATTCCAAGAAAGCCGGACAACGACAGCTTGAAGACTTGGTGTGTCTCTTTCCATGGTCCAGGCTCGCGGCCGCCGATACTCACAAACCGGGGCCATATGCATCTAAAGAGCATCACAGTCTGTCACCACCACGTTCCCCAGCGCAGCAAACGGCAGCATCAAAGTACCAGGTATCGTCTCCAGACCACCAAACGAAACTCGAAACGACGAAAACCTCTTGAGGCCTTGGCACCGCAGGACATCTGACATTCCACCAAGCATCCCAACTCGCGAACCACTGCGTCGGAAGGCCGTCGGGTTTCTCACCGCACCCCAGTCCGCACCAAACGGACTTTTTCCTCACTGAACCCCTCATACACACGCACATAACTCACCCACCATGGCTGAGGTTCAGGCCAAGCTGCAAAAGCTCTCTGAAGAGTACACTGCTCTCCAAAATGGTACATTCATTTCAATTTCATTATGCGTCAAGTACTTTTACTAAATGTCACCAGAACTCCAGACCACCGTTCAGGCGCGGCAAAAACTCGAAGCTCAGAAGCAGGAGAACCTCGGCGTGAAAGAGGTGAGTGCTCATCCTGCGCCAACCACACACGGATGAGCGCCAGACTGATGCATTGCAGGAGTTCGACAACCTCAAGGACGGCGAGCAGATTTACAAGCTCGTCGGCCCCGTGCTGCTGAAGCAAGACAAGGTAGAGGCCGAGAGCACAGTCAAGGGTCGCCTGGATTTCATCACGAAGGAGATGTACGTGCATCGCCACCTCCCTTTCTCTCGGACGGCATATTTACTAACTCACACAGCGAGAGGCACGAGGGCCAGATCAGGGACGTCCAGGGAAAGCTTGAGAAGAAGAAGGGCGACATCATCCAGCTGCAAACCAGCGCGCAGGCCGCCGCGGCGAAGAAATGATGCACGAATGACGGGAAAAAAGTCAGGTCTGGCATGAGTGGTGATACATATAACGACACATAAAACAAAAAAGCTACTAGGACTATGAATTATACCCAGCAATGCTCCGCTCCGATCACGAAGCTCCCAAGAACGCCTGGCTAATGCGCCCCTTTCCCCCCGATGATGGTCCCCGCCGATGAATGCCGACTCGGTCCCAAATCCATCCCCGGCTTGTCATGAAAAGAAACAAATGGTCATTACATCCCCCTTCTTTCCTCCTCAGTTCAATGCCATGATGGTGAATCCCCAGGGCAGCCCCATATTCCTCGCCGGCAGCTCCGTGGCCCAGCCGATGGCGTTCTGGTACTCGTCCTCGCTCACAAACTCGGCGTCGTTGACCTTGCCCTCGACGGCGTCCATGATGAGATCCGCGATCTGGCTCTTGGTATAGCACCGGCCGAAGATGCGGCTCTCCTCGATTTTGCGGATCATGGCGGCGCGCAGCTCGCACTCGGCGAAGCGCCGCACGTCGCGGTCGAAGGTGGCCTGCGTCACGGGGCCGTGCTCGTGGTGCGTGGCCAGCTTGCGGAAGAAGGCGACCATGCCGGCGACGGCCTGGGCGAGCATGTGCGCCTTGGTAACGTCGTCGATGCCGTGGATCATGGAGGAGTGGCCCTGCTCGATGAGCTGGTGGGCGTCGTGATCGAAGGTCGCGTGCACAACGGCGGAGATGCTGGCGGGGTTTGTGATAATGGAGTCTGGGTCTTGCAGGGAGAAGGTCTTTGCGATCTCGTCGTAGCACTGGGAGAGGGTCTTCCACATGGAGACGTTGTTCTGGACGGAGGCCTGGCCCATGCTTAGGGTGAAGTGTGACATGGTGCTGTCGATGCTCTCTTGGGGGATGTTAGTGGCGGCTCATGTTGGTTGGGGGACAGTGGCTGACTTTTGCAAATTGTGGGAGACATGATAGGTGGTGACTTGGTTGGTTGGTTGGTGTGAGGTGATACTGAGTATCCCCCTTGGACGGGTATGGACACGCTTGATAGTTGATGATGAATGTTTACAATCACAAAATGTTGATAATCTCTACATAAACAACAGAGAAGGAAAACTTCTCCTTTAATGTAGGTGGCGTTGTCGCCTTGTGGCCTCATCGGGATGCTCATCTAGGTCCGGGATGGTCCAGGTCCAGGTCCAGGCATGCGGGACGCGATGGCGCCCATCCCTGAATCTGGAAACCTGCCCAGGCCAGGACGAACACAACAGAATGGCCAGGTCCGTCATCCGTAAATTATCGACTATTCATGCGGCAGTACCCAGTTTCGCGGGAGACGTCCGCGGTCGCTCAAAGCAAGCAAGGCAACGGCGTTAGCACGGCGGTGGTTCCCTCCACGCCCTCCACACTGCCCGCAAAAACATCAAGCCATCTCGCCGTCAGATTTGGCGGGATCGCAAGATGCGATAGCTGATAACCTGACGACTCGGCACCGCCACGCAACGTCCCTGAGACACTTGGCTGGTGGGAAAACCCTCAAGCAACCACAGGGCGTGTCTCGAGACCTGACCGCCTGAGAAAGACCGTCTGTCCTCGCTCGACGGCGACCAGCGGGTGCCGGCGTGGGGGGTTGGGCGGCCTGTAAGGCGACGTTGGACGAACCACGGAACAACAAGCGACAAGCTGCACGTCAAGCTGCCACGGGAAAGCAAGACCATCTGACCCTGTGCCTGTCCGACTCGTTCGAGCAGGCGGTGGGAGCATCCAAGCATGGTGCCACACTCAGACAGGCGTCAGACTCGAGCCGCAACGGGATCAGTGCAGTGAAATCAGGAACGGAGGTTGGACAGGCGGGATGGCCGGGCCGCCAGGGCAGCATTCGTTTTTTTGGCATTCCATTTCCTGGCAATGTCACTGGATTGCGAAAATTACACCAGCCAGGGCGAGTTTCCGAGAATTCCCGAGGCTTGGATATTTTTGTTGGGTGAGGCGAGCAGGCGAAGGACGACTCGTAAATCGAACGGAAATACGGACGGACGAGAATGACGTCTCTTTCTCTCGGGGGCCCCAATGCCACGCTGGTCGGAGCCGTCGAGGAGTTTTTCAAGTCCGCCGTGGCAACCAAGGTTTGCGCCGAGAGCCAAGCAGATGTCCAGATTGCACAGGAGATGTCCGAGATGGTTCTTGACTAGCGGATGTTGCTGTTGATGGAACTTGACGACGTCGAGGTGGAGCTCAGACATGCCCCGGGTGCTCCCGCCAGCTGCATGCCCGCCGTTGACTGACCTTGGACCTTGTTTAGTTCACCTGGACTTCTTTTCGGTGAGCACACCTGACTTATGTAAGCACGATTCCCAGGACGTCACGTGAAGTGTCAGATAGCCACGTGACAAAGCAGGGGTCCGAGCTCTACCCCTCCATTGCCGGCGCGGTACCCAACACTGTGAGGTGAACCTTGTCGGCTGCCATGGCGGGGTGCCTCAACGCTTAGGTCCAGTGCTTCAGCCACCCGTGGCTCGCCTAGCGCTTCGTCATACGGTTCCTGGGACGAAACCCTTCAAGGCCTTGACCGAATGGTCGAGCATCTGCGACCTCAAGGCTGCCACTTTCTGGCTCCCGACCTACGAACAATGCAAACGACTACCTGAACGGTGTCCGTCACCAACAGCGACCCTGATACGACATCCGGCATTACCGCACCCCGCTCCCCGCGAGCTTCAACATCCATACCAAACATCCCCAACTTCGACCTCCGAATATCTTCCCCCCGACGAGAGACCGCCAAGATGAACGGACCCTCGAGCCCCCGGCCTGCGCGGCCCATGAGCATTAAGGAAATCACGAATGCAGCCGAGGACTTCGAATTTAGAACGACGATTCCCTTCAAATACTGGGCGCGCTCCGCAGACACGTTATTTCAAGAGGTCGGTACCCCTTCCCCAGCACCTGCGTGCGCGGCACTGACTAGGCAACCAAGGCGACTTTTGCGCTGCAGGATCGCGACATCCGGAAAGCATACCAGATGCTATGGCGCCACTCCGTCCTCGTCCTCAGCCATCTCAAGACCCATCCCGATGCGAAGCTTCCCGAGAACAAGGCGCTCACGAAGCCACTCTTCAAACGGCAGCAGGAGGAGGTGTTTGGCCTGCTTGAGAGCCTCAAGCCACAGATTGACCGCGACTACAATGAGTGGCAGCAGATGAACGCATCCCAGAAGAAGGCCGAACCCGAGAAGAGGCCCTCGAGCTACGACGAGTTTGCCGCACGAGACCCGACGCTGAGCGGCAATGCGAAGATTCTCGATGCCGCCGATAACCAAGAACTGGCCGTATCCCTGGCGCAAAGGGACTTCAAGAGAAGAGATGCTGCGAGAAAGGCCACCAGGCAGGCTGGCGTCAGCGAGGAGGAAGAGCAAGAACGCAGAAAGGGCGGCCGCTGGGAAGACTGGGAGCAGTTTGGCAACCCGGCTGCGGCTGTGGCTACAGACGAGGACGAGATTCGCAGACAGATTGAGGCGACAAGGAGACGACTCGATGGTAACGATGGAGGTCGCCAGGAGGATACCAGAACATCAAGGGCACCTGTACCACCGCCGAGGCCACCACCGCCCAGCTACTCATACCATTACCCGTCTATCTCGAGACCGAGGGCGGTCGAGTGGGATTCGGCGCCGTTGGAGCCCAAACGAACCTACACTCCCTCATTGCCACAGCCCCCCAAACTGCCAAAGGAGGACTTCACGATATTGCGCCAAGAGCTCGATGCCGCGCCCCCGTCACGCCCCGGCAAAGAACCTCTCCCATCATACATTCCACCGCCTATACCCGATTCGGTACCCAGAGACGTGCCTGAACTTCCCGCAAAAGAGGAGATTATGCCGCCGCAATCAGCAAAGGAGCGTCTTACTTTCCGTCCAGCAGCGTACCTGGAGAACGGCGATCCGATCCGCCCGGTTTTCCTGCCCACCCAACTCCGGGAGGCTTTCCTGAACATTGCGGCGGACAACACCCGAAAGGGCCTCGAGATGTGTGGCATCTTGTGTGGCCGGCCTGTTAACAACGCGCTCTTTATCAACTGCCTGCTCATTCCTCAGCAAAAGAGCACGCCAGACACCTGCGAGACGGAGAACGAGTCGGCCATGCTGGACTACTGTATCAATGAGGACCTATTGATGGTTGGCTGGATTCACACGCACCCCACGCAGACATGCTTCATGAGTTCGAGAGACCTGCACACCCAGGCGGGTTACCAGGTCATGATGCCGGAGAGCATTGCTATTGTGTGCTCTCCGAGACATCAGCCATCGTATGTGATCTCTCTGCTGCCACCTGAATTTGAGCTAACATGAATGCAGATATGGCATCTTCCGCCTCACCAACCCACCTGGTCTCACTCACATCCTCCAGTGCACCCAAACCCAGACTTTCCACCAGCACTCCATCGACGATCTGTACACGACTGCTAGTAACCCGCCGGGTCACGTCTACCACTCCGACAAGCTCGACTTTTATGTGAAGGACCTGCGGCCGAACCGGTAGGAGTCGGAATCTCGGCAGGAAAGCAATTCATCGCGGAAGCGCAAAGCAACTCATGAGCCATCGCGTAAGCGGTCCACGAGGAGAATATGGGAGGACATTGAGGACGATTTTCCCTGATCAGGGACGGTTGGGCCAGGAGATTCGGCTTGGGCGAGATAATTGGCTGCTGCGGACGGAGAATGGACTGCTTGTCCGTCACTTTTGCTTGTTGCATGGCGAGGGCGTTCAACGGCTTGCGGCTGGACGCCCAGCGGGCGTCTGCTACTCAACTGGGATGATAGGAACGTCGGGACGACACCTTGGCACGTAGAATTAAATCATCATGACATGGGAACTAATGAGAGCCACTTGTTGTGGAATTTGGCGCACCATGACTTGCCTTCTGTTATTAAATTTCTGCAAACTATCAACGTCGGACCTCCAGCCTCCCCATCTATGTGTTGTATTGGCTATCTGGATTACTTCATTGCCCGTGCTCTGAAGCTCCCATCATCATTTGCATATGTATATAAATCATGTCGGCGGCGTCTGCTTCTGTGAAGATCGAACAGCAATCAAGGGCTCGGGGAGCTCACTGTATTTCGTGACATCAAGCTTTTCAATAAAGGGCTCACGGCGGGAGGTGCTGGGTATACAGCAGTCCAAAATATGGGCATAGCTAGCATTGCGATTACGGGCGAATCAGACAATTATACCTGGGAAACGAGGATGGAGAGGAGGGGTGTCCTGATCATTTTACACATCAAACACTCCGGAAGCCTCGTGGATGCAGAGGTCTGTGATTGATCAAAGTGATCAAAATAGATGAGGAAACGGCGTCGTCTCCCACCGATGATTTCCTTGTTTCTTGCCAAACGACTCTACTCTAGGCGCCAAACACAGTACTTTTATACCAGAGTTTGGCTATTGAGATGGTGAGAGCAAACGCCGCATCTAGGGTATGAGGGCTTGATGACGTATAAAACGGACGTGTAAACAATGTAATGAGGTTGCCAATAATCTTGTCTGCGTCCATATTTGATGGAAATTTAGTGGGTGTTGTGCAGCTTTACGAATTGCAGACAGGCCTTCACAGACTGAAGGTATGGTTTCCTCACAATGGTGTCAGTAATACTTGGAATCAACACTGGAGGGAATATGCAGGGAATGATTAAGGACTAGAGAGATGAGAGACCCCGAAAAGTTCATTCTAGGTACCCGGGGGTCCAAGCGGCGCAGGCTAACGCTAGCCCCCCTACTCACGTAGGGGGCGAAAATACTGGGTTTCTATGCAAAGAACTAGTTTCCACCTCTAATATTATTAATAACTCTATAACCCTGGCTTTAAAATCATATTAATTTAGCTTAAAATTAAGTATAAAAGATCACAAAAATTCCTATATAAGTAGTATAATTATAGCTATTATAGTTATTTAGATATTTATAATATTAGTTAATATAGACTTTAATTATAAGAGATCTATAACCTTAACCCTAATTTTAATTAAATAGACATTTAAAAAGATTTTTAACTTAAATTACTATATACTATACTAACTTATATAACTTATTAATAGTTTAATATTATATTAATATCTTAGATTTCTTAGTTTTTCTAAGGATTTTATTTTCTTAAAGAATTTCTTAGAAATAATAAATTCTTAGAAAAACTTTATTATTAGTATTATTTTTATTTAGTTTATTATAAAAAGATCTAACTTATATATAAAAGTGTATAGTATTAGAATCCTTTTAAAAGTCTATAATAGAAGTATTAAGGGTTAGAGTTATAGATCTATATAAAAAAAGAAATATATTTCTACTAATGACGAAAAACGCTTATATATTTAAATATATACTATATATACTAAAACTAATAAAATAGGAATTTTTACGATTTTTTAAGCTTAATTATAAGCTATAATACTATAGTTTTAAGGTTAGGGCTATAGAGTTATTAACGATAACCCTAGTGGAAACTAGTTTCTTGCATGGAAACCTAGTATTTTCGCCCCCTACGTGAGTAGGGGGAGTTTTGCGCTTGACGTGGCTGACTAACGCCCCCGGGTAAATCGAGACCTCCCCGGGTGGCTGAGTAGCCAGCCACCTGGCTGACCACACTTCTTGTTGTCTGACAAATGCTGCCTGACAAAGAAGTATAATGGCACAGATGGCAGAAAGATTGTTGAATTGAAGGAGTGAGGATACGTGCGCGATATGGATGGACTAATATACCAGTAGCCCAGGGCTTTTGCCCACATGAGAACGCTAGAACTACCCCGGAGCACATTCTGCGATGAACACAGTACTAATAACCAGAGACAAAGGAGTGGTATAAAACCCACATCCAATCGACACAACTTCATCTTAATAGCAGCAATTGGGCCACTCATACTGCCTTACCAGGAGGGTGGTTGGAGGTCGGGATGTCCTTGGGGACACGTACTCGTGTTCAATCAACGGATTGTGAGGCGGGAATCTGAACTTCAAGAGGGCATCCTTGGCTCGAAAGAAGAGATCAATGGTTTTCTGCTCGATCATCTTGATGGATAGGGTTTGTTGAAAGCTGTCTTCCACCATAAAACGGACAGCTTCAAACAAGACATGAATAACAGGACCAGAATCAACTAAGAAAGGAGAAGAAAGACAGGAAAACTGGATGGAGTTATGGTGACTTTTCGCAGACCTAGCCCAGTGTAGGCAGACATGGTTGACCTTCGCGTGGTAATCACTGAGAGAGGAATGATTCAACCGCGAAGCTAACAGTCTAATTGCGTACCCCCTCAAAAAAGACTGATTCTGACTATCGTTTTAATAGCTGGACCTTCTGACTGACGATGGTCTACTGATCACAGCTTGGGTAGGTTGAGCACTCGTTTCCTCGGATGGTTGTGCAGCTCCCGGCTCAGAGTACTGGCTTTGCCGAGAAGGATGTCGGTGAATTGGCGAACCTTGCTCACGAGATGGTTCTTGATGAAGAGTTGCAACTTGCTGAGTAGATGATTGCTGTGGTGTTGAGCCTTTCTGGAAGGCCGAGAAAACTCCGGGTGACGGGCTGTGTCGAACTCCCGGATCTTGCACAGCGGAGGTTTCCGAAATAACCGCTCTCGTGGAAACTACTTGGTCTCCTGAAGCTATTGCTTCCGGCTGACTTGGCTCAGCTGGGAGAAGATTGTACTCGGCAAAAGCTGGGATGATCAGAGTATAAGCCTCTTCAACATCTTGTGCCAGCTTAGCTCTTACAACACCCTCTGCAACTAATTTGAAAACGGGATGCTCCCATAGCTCGGTGTTATCGCTGCTGCCCAACTTCACTGGCGTTATGTCGATTAATTCTTTGATTTGCGAAGTCAGTGCGAGGATGAAAAGCGAGAAAAGCTCCTGAGCCTGTCGAAGGGTCTTGGTGGTCTCTGGACGCTCGTCGATGACGAGTTCCTCAGATGACAAGTTGGGACCTCCAAACGCAACATTACGCCTGACATTGAGAATGTGAGCGAAACTGTGCTTCAACATGGTGTGCTAGGAGACAACTTACGCGGAATACGACGAAAGAAACATGCCGAAGTATACATCCGACTGGGCCATGGCCTTGAGTCGAGATTGGTCTGTTTTCCGCATCTCACTCGCGATCATGACCCAGAGGCTCTCGAGATTTCCCCACGAGAATATTTTCCACCAGTCCCTGCCTATGCAACTGATCAGCTGCGTAACAGCGGCCAATTCTTGCCAAGTCATTGTTCTTCGCTGATGTTTGCGTAGGGGAACGACTGTGACTCGCTGATGAAGCCATGATTCAAGACGAGATGCTGAACCAAGATCTCCGCACCCAACTATGCGTTTAAAACCTTGTTCTAACCCGGACCTAGATTCATCTGTTGATGTAGCTAATGATGACCGCATTGCGTCTGTACAGAGAGAAAGTGCGAGGACTATCTCGAGTAGTTGATCGTTTTGCAACTTCCACTCGTCATCGGTTCTTTGTCTTCCAAGTTGGAAGGAGAAGTATCGTTGACTCCTTTGCTGTGGATAAACATCTGTAGGTCTGCAATCGCTCACGTTGAATGACCATCGTAGGTTCAGAGCTTTCTTGGGTTCTGGTTGAATCCAAACAACATTATCGCTCTGAAGAAGACATTCCATGGTGCTCTCGATAGCAGTGCAAAGAGCCGCGCGTGTTCCCGCGATTTGAGCATTGATCAGCTTTTTTCCCCGGAAGAAGTTCGCTTCCATGTCCTGATAAACTTGGAAAACGCCCGGAATAGGTATGGAAATTGCGTGATTTGAATTTGCGTTGCCATCTTCTGACATAAATTCGAGATTAGACTTCAGGGGCCCTTGGGTAACACCGAAAAGTTGTTCAGCAACTATCGTCCGGCCCTTTATCCCCTGCCGCTCTGGATCTCGATGAAACGTGGACCAACCTCCACCACCGAAAGCATGGAAATTGTCAGTACGATCATGTATAAGCTCCCAAAAGAATTGAGATCTATCTATCAAAAAAGGAAGGCAAAGCGTTTCCGGCTCGGAAGATCTTCCTGACGAATACGACGAATGATTCTGGCATGATGCGGTAAAATGCTCTCCAGGCCCGCTGTACCGGGCGCAACAACCGTTCCGAAGGCTTTTGAACATCATTAGCAGGATCTAGAGGTTCATTATCGTCGCTTCCTTCCATTCTGGATCTGAGGTACAGGGCGAGCCAAGGAAGTTCAAGCCCGCTTGGGCTTGAAGCAGCCTTAAGTTGTGAAACAACGCCTTTTCTTAACCAGGCTCGAACTGCTGTCATGCCGAGAGTTGTACCTAACTGGGCAATTGTTGCCGACCAATGCAAAGCTCGAAGACCAATGAATTGAACAATGTATCCTGTGAGAGCGGTCACAACCGCAATGGCTGTGAGAAGCCTGCAAAAGTATTCAGTAATTAGCAGTCTAGTTCGCACATGCATTGTGTCACGTTTCTTACCCGTAAGACTTATCATTCAATCGAGAAGCTCTAAGCTTTCTGCCATTTTCTCCAAGGAAGATAGCACACGATGGAAATCGCTGATCGCCAACTGTCTGTGGCATTTGGAGAGTAAAAAAAGCCCAACCCTTCGTCTTTGCTTCGGGCGTGAGCTGAATCTCGTACTCTGTAGTGACTCCTTCGATAACGTGGCCGCATGTCATGATGCCTAATGATAATAAAAGAGTACCCGTGAAAAAACATGGGTATCCATAGCTAGCAACGAAACTGCCTGCTTTACTCCAGTTCCAGTGGTAAGTCGCAACTCCAGGAAAAGAAACTGCAAAAGCTTGGAGCAGAAGTCCCGCGGTGATCCAGAATCGCAGCTCAAGTGGACCAACGGCGAAATTACGGGCGTTGAGTGTAGGATTGGGAGTAGTAAAGCGGCATGCAGCTGAATGCTGGTCCCCGCTAATGAGACCTAGTCCATATGCATCTTTGATGCTGATGGCTTGCGCATTTTTGTTGATAAGGAAAACTTGATCGCCTTGGTTGTCGCTGATGACACGGACGACTTGCCGGCCATTCCACAACTCACGTACACCTTCGGAAGTCGAAGAAAGCAATTCCTGTTCAGCAACGAGATAGCTTTCTCGGGCGCTTCAAGATCATTAGCATGAGGAAAAGGAACGGGAATCTTTCTTCTGTCAAATACTCACCGCCCAACAAGTGCCCTCAGACTCTGCCAACCTGCTACGCGGATGGCGCTGACGACGATGGTGATTATTACCAGCGGACCAATCGCTAGAAGGATGTTATCTTCCCAGCATATACTTAGACTGAGGAATTGTATGGTCATCTGCTCTCCGAACAAAGTGATGAGCGGTGCCAAGTCGCTGAACAGATTATTTGAGAACTCATCTCCGTCAAACTCTCCTGACGCCATCGCGAAAATACTTGAGCGGAGAAAGGTAGAACAGGAGGAAAAGATTGCAATTACGGAAAGTGACTTCAGCCTGTGTTTCTTAACTTGGGAAGTGGATGTCATTTGATCAGTACGAGATATTGCATATCGCTAAGGCAGGCTTTCAGTTCGGCTTACCGAAAAGAGAGGGGCTGCAGGCGGTCGCATCAGAGGTCTTCCACCGGATGCAGGTAGATACCAATCGCAGCGCAGAATGCAGTTGTACAGCTGCTCAACTCACAGCCTGATTATCGTAGATCAGGATCCTCTGTGCCGCATATATTGATTCTCAACAGTATTTGGACAGCGAGAGAGACTCTTAACACTGAATGGCTAGAAATGCATGGATTTCTCGGAGAAACTTACCCACTAGCTATGCTACAGGGTTGTGCATTCTTCCGGCAGATCTAATAATGAATGGCTAGGGCTTAGAAATCAGTGAAGCCCATGTGATGTGGATAGAGACTCAGAACAGATTCAAGAAGATAACCAGAGTTCAGGTTGAAATTGCAAGAGAGACTGCTACTAAGGCCTGAGAATATATCAAACTGCAAGGGGGTAACATTTGCATTACTTGAATTGTATCCTTTAAGCACGGGATTCCAAAGTAGTTGCAGAGTTTTTCAAAATAGATACGCTTGTAGAGTACGCCTGTTCGTGTTTTTGTGTCGACAAAAGACGAATCAAGCAACAAGAAGGGTTCTTTCTGATTGCTTGCTTATTCGAAGTGCTCTCACTCTGTACAATAATACTATTCTCGACCTGTAAGAGGTCGAGCTTTGTCTTAATTGACAAAAGTACTGGGGGATTTCTCTCAAAAATCAGTATGTGAGCATCATGGAGAATAACCCGACTCTATTGACGGATTCAATGGAGTCGAACCCCCGATTATTGCCCAGCACGCATGCGTTGGTGCAGTCATGCTGCCGATCAAGTCTATGAGCTCATTCAGTCAGATCCGAATTCCATCAAAGTTTTGCAAGGCGACCGATGCGAGATCCCAAAAGCCAGAGCGCGTCCTGCGTTGTCCATCCCATCACGTTGTGTGGAGTGGTTAAATCGCCTGGTGACCAAGGCCAGCTGAAGTCGCGTTCTAGACCATGACGTCACTACCGCGGCCCTCCCAAGCCGTACACGTCTCCCTGCATGTGCTCTTCCTCAATTCTTCCTTAAAATCGACAACTTCTCACAGAGTGGTAATCGGCAGTTTTATATCCTATTTCAGCAACTTTGAGAACAAAACCACTTCGGAAACACCATCGAAGTTTGGGCGCAGCTCGAAACCAATCCCATTAACAACACCACCGACAAGAACATCCCTGTCCAAAACCATGGCTTTCCCCACGAACGTCCTGGGCATCCTCATCGCCTTGATCAGCGGATTTGCTCTCGTGCACTCGGCGGACTCGATTCCGAGACTTCTCAAGTACGAAGAGAAGGCGAAGAAGGCGGCTGAATGGAGCAGGACGGCAGAGAAACAATTGTGGGAAATCCGGTACACCGTCGGCACCGGCTTCGTGGGAGTACGTCCACGCTTCTCAACTTTTCATTGCGACGTCGAGATTTGAAATTGAATCGGAGCTAACATGTGCAAAAAGTGCCTGCTGTCAGGCCTCAGCGGCCTGGCTTTCTCACTGGTGGTCCCTCGCGGCGTGGGTGTCTTCACTGTCGGCTGGCCGATCATGCTTGCCGCTGGTCTGACGTACGGACACCAGTACATGCGAAACTTCTGGATTTCCAAACCTAAGGTTCCAATGATGACAGACTTCAATGAGGCCATCTCCGACTCAATGATGGTACAGGATCTTTTGAATCCTTTGGCTGGAGCTTGGGGACTCGTGGCGTTTTGCAAGCTTGTGGGATTGTAAATAATTTGCCTTGTGCTGCGTGCATCCCGACATCACGACTGGCGAGGGAGTTGCAAAAACATGACTTGAGTACATAGTTCTTGATGCCACTCACGGGTTGGCAACCCTCTTCATGTAGACCCATTCATACTTTCCCCATGAGTCTGCGCTTCCTGTGATCTTCTCGTACCTCTCACCAGGCTTCTTGCCCTCGGCGTAGACATCCAGGTTAGCCTCCAGTCTGCCAACCACTCTAAAACCGTACTTCTCATATGCCGGCACCCCACCCATCGAAGACTGAACCCAGCAGTATATTCCCTCCTGATCTACCTTCTCCGTGCCCCAGCGTACGAGGCGTGACCCAATTCCTTTCCCTTGAAAGTCCGGATGGACTACACAGCTGATCACAATCCGGCACCGGCAACCTTCCGGTTGCAGCCTGTTGACCCAGTATTGCATAGATCCGTTACCGAGATCTTCAAGATCCTTGATTGTCGGAGGCTTGGCCGGATCAATGGTATCGGCCGAGACAGCCTGCGGTTCTTCGGCGGGGCCGGTGAGGGGTAGGTCCGTATCCCCCGCGAAACCCCTCCGAGCCCATCCAACCCACCCGACCGGCTTGCCCGAGATCACGGCAACTAGGAGGTCCACCTTCGGCGACTGTAGCCAACCTTTCAACCCCTCGCCCATGCCATCTTTGAACGAAGAGTCGCCATGAAAGACGGCTTTGAGTTGGGTGTGTGAATCCGTCTGAAATGCTGCATCAGCGATGGCAGCGAGGGTATCCACATCATCGACTGTCGCATGACGGAGGTTGACGTCGGGACGGGGCGGAGTGACAGACGAGGGAGCCATGACTCTGATGACTTGGCGGTGATGGGGCTGAGAATGTGGCCGACTTGGCACGGGAACTGTTCCAGCTTTTCACGGTGAGATTTGATCGTATATGTAAGACGGTATCCGGTTAAAATCGCTTACTTTGACCGGGAACCGGCAGACCGGCCTGCATCGGCAGGAAACCCGCTAGTCCCGACACGGAGCTGACAGGGGACAAATGCTTCTAATTCATCACCGGATGACTCCTCACCGGACTCTCACGATAACGGGTTATCCGAGATTCAATCTCACCAAATCTCTGAGATCCAGTGTTGCAGTTTTCAATGGATCTGACTCTGCCGTCATCGCGATGAGAATGGAATCTCCTCTATACACATACCAATTGAGAGAAAAGTGCCTCGTATGATAGTGAGATTCAAATTCTCTCGATGGAGTCTCAAGTTCCTTACATCACCAAGCTCGATGAACCTTCTCAGGCAGGAATAGACATGCAAAAGATTACAATGGGCTTTGTAGTCTCTCTGAAGACACTCACTGAGAGTCTGAGACCACTATCACCAACGACGACATAACGACCACAGAGAAATTCGACGCAGAAGCAACCGAGCAACAAAGCCACAGACAATGTAGATGTAAATTAAACTATCCATACAAGTGGATGATGACATGCTGGGAGGCGATATGGAGCAAATCGCTTATGAACCTCTCAGGACCAAGCAACCAAGCAGTCAGCCACTTGATTTGTAAAGCTCCTCCATCAAGATTCTATGGAACTCACAATCCTAGTGAATATTGCAATAAATTCACTTCAAGTCAACAGCGAGGCCCTAAAATGAGCGCTGACTGTTGACGGAGTTCCTGGCCTCATCGACTGTCAGGCGATACGAGGCCATTGCATCATGCTGCAACAAAACGTCAAATTCAAGCTTCTAGACCAACGATGATGTCTTAAACCCGTATTCGTTCAACTGAGTTGCATTCTACAACTACGAGTGCGACGAGCTCGTGTAAGTGCGGGCGATCGTATCGCCGCCACGGCTATTGCCTGAGTCATCCAATAGGAGCCGATCCTGGCGATCGCCGAAGCTACGCCTGTCATTCGAGATCACGTTAGTGAGCCTTTTCAGTGGGGACATCCTTCAAGTGTCTGTCACAAAGTCAGGGGCCGCGAGTAGGAGCAATGTCACAGGCAAGTCCGACAGAGTCCGCCTCGGCTATTGTACGGGCCCACGACTGAGCGTCCGGGAATGTCTGCATGTCATGGATGCTGGACGAGTATGATCGAGAATGCTTTGGAACTATCACGAATCTGGAAAGCATCACAAAGTGTGTTTCCTGTGTCAAAATACATTGCATTGTGAGTGCGTTAGTGCTCATTGCTTGTAGCAAATCCAAAGTCACCTGGGCATTTCCAGTCTCACAGATCACATGCGCATATCCATAAGGGGCATCGAAAATTTCTTTCCTGCTTCATTTAATGCGCATAGGTCAATATGAAGCCTCCTGATTATCCTTTCTCTAGCTGTGTCGGTCGAAACCATTCCGATCCTCAAGCTGAAAAGTCTTGACGCAGTGGCAATCACGAAAGCAGTAACGACTCCAAATAAAAGTCTTCGCCAGTCACCACAACGTCCACATACTAGTGTAAACCTGATACTCCGGATGATGAAATTTTGAGGTATCGCGACTCATCGGTAACCGTTGCCGACTGCGCTCGGCCGTTCGTGATAAGGCGAACTAGTCCAGACGACAATGGCACGAAAATCAACACTGGCAAACATGCGGCCAGCGCTCCCTCTAGACCGTTTTCTTGACGCTGCACGGGTCTTCGAGAAACTGCTTGAAGCCACGTTCGGCACCATATTCCGTAAGGAGCAAACTGAAGCAACGGAAAATGCAACCCCTTTAGCAGCCTGAAAGCTTAAAGTGACAGTTTTCCTGCTTAACTGACGTTGAAATATGGACAATTACGTTGGCAATGCGGGTAATCTAAGGAAAAGATCTGCAATTAGGGGGGGAGAATCGCTGCCATGGCCCATCGGCTTCGTCCCGCGATCAATACGGGTACGAACACGCAGTCCAGCCAACAGGTTCTGTTCTACAACATTCGACGATGGCAGCCCAGCCTAACCCAGCCTATCGACCGTTACCTCTGCCGAACAAAGCTTGGACAGCTCACTTTTGACTGCAGCGCAAGGCGAGGCCTCCCCAGTCGGAGCGACAATCCGAACAGCCTATTGGTCGTTATGCATCACTCGGCGCGAGGGGGCATGACGTTAGTTTCTCATGAAATGCCCGTTGCGGTAAGACTCTCGCAGGTGCAGCAGGCCACCCCCCTGCAACTCTCCGACAATACAACAGTATCGCAGCCGGCAAGATCTAGACCCTTGCCTGCGAAAGCCTCAATTGTCGGCAGGGACCGTTGGGCGACCGTTGTAGTCCAACAGCCTTCATCCCAGCGTTTCATCCCAATGCGCTGCTGTCGGGACGGTGAATGACGTACTGACAGGTGCCCCGATCGAAGGTTTCTCGATGCCCGTCGGAGGCATATTAAGGAGGAGCCGGGCCCAAGTCACAAAGCTTTGGGGAGGCAGGCTTCAAAGCTTTTGTGGCACATAACTCTACAGCCAAGGCTCCTGTCTAATGTTAGCTTAAAGACAAACGACTTCAACACCATCATCTCTCGCACGACTATCAACAACCTTTCAAAATGCTCGGAATCGGTGGTAGGATATCCGCCATCGTGCCAATTCTGGCGTCGGCTGTGGCCGTCGCCCTCTCAATTGTTCTTTTGGCTGCTGGGAACAGCACAAGCAGCGGCAACTCCAACTACTGGCTTTCGGTTAGCGACTTCGGAACGCGAAGCAAGAGACCCTAGCTAATATTGCCGATCTGCAGCTGAACACATCCAAAATTGGCCAACAACTCATTACAGTGCAGGCCGCGAACACTTCGAATGGAAATGGAAATGGCGGCGGCGGCGGCGGCGGTGGTGGAGGTATTAGCATCCCGGGGCTTCCCACCCCTACCATTCCTGGTATCACCTCGCCGAGCGGTGGTGTTAACGATCCCACGGGCATTACTAGTGGCTTGAACGGAATTCTAGGAGGACTCCTCGGAAACTTGACCAATCAACTAGGAAGCGGCATCCAGGATGTTGAGGGGCAGCTGATGGGAAACCTGACGCAGGCGTTGGGTGTCAAGGACACCTACAACCTCTTCCTGACGAAGATGTGCGAGGGTGACTACGCCAACGAGAACGATCCCAGTACCAAGACCAACATCAAGTCCTGCTTCAGTTATGACGACAAGGGACAAGGTAAGAACACCTTAACACTGATGAGCATGATCATCGGCTAAGATAATACAGGTCTTCGCAACATCACAGATTCGATTCCGTCTTCATTCGTCATTGCTACAGCCAACGTTTCAGTTCCTCTAATTTCGGCGATGAGAGGCACGATCGATCAGGTGGTATCACTTGCTAGCACGGGAGCGAAATTGTTGACTGCTCTGCTGGCTATTGGTACCATCTGCACAGGAATTGTGTTACTTGCGACGCTGCCAATCATCATCGTTGGCTTTATGCGTGTGCTTGTTCTGACCTCCCTAGTCTTCTCCTTGCTGGGCGCTACAGTTTTACCACTCTTCGCCATTATCACGACCGGCATCGTCGTGGGTGGCAAGAAGATGCTTGAAAAGGAGGGCAGCGCTTTTGGCATCCAGATTAAGCAAGGAGGACCATTTATCGCTATGGCCTGGGTTGCAGCTGTTGCATCGATGGCAGCATCGACTTACTGGTTCATGATATGGTTTGTCAGCTTCAGGCGAACGGCGTTCAGCCGCCGCAAGCGTACTGAAACTGAGATCGGAAATTGGAGGGGTATTTTCCGTGAGGTCAAGGGTGACTTGAAGACTTGGGAGGGTGGTGAGAAATAGGTTGGTTATGCGTTTACATCTACAGTCATCAAATTTGCGCGGGTTCGAACAGCACAGCGTCTGTACATACGGAATCATTTGACGGAAATATGGTTGAACAGTACATATTATTCAGTAGGGCTGATGATTATGCTTAGCACAGTCTTGGTAAATAGTAATTGTTAAATTTTGATGCATCACCGTTTACCACTTTCTACCGCACGCTCCCTGCAAAGCACATGCTGAGTTCTATGTGGCCAACGGTCACACATGCTTGGGTTCTCGTCGCCCCCACGCGGCGCTAGGGTATGTGCAGACGGCGCTCAGCCAAGTGCATGGACAGGACGTGCTGATATGGTCTGAGACCACGGCGAAAAAGTATCGGCTCTCGAAATTCGATGCAAGCCTGAGCTTACTTGAAGAGCTTTCGCCGGTACCTTCTCATAAGAGTATAGGTTTGGCGCAGGATTGTAGAATCATTTTGGCTTCACGGTGAAAGTTTTCTGCTTGCCCCTTTTTCTGTGTGTGAAGTTGAGGAGACGAACATCATGCGACATCCGCGGGAACCGACATTCTCGTTCGCCTCGGCCCCAAGTCACTACTGTATGCATAATCCAAGGCAGCATGACCTGTGTGCCCATGAAAAGCCCTGCAACTACTACCCTGCAGGGTTGCGCCCGACCGACACAGGATGAAGCTTGCAAAACATGTGATCTTTCTCCTGCAGACTCCACATCCGCTGTCAGAGTTTCGACATCCGTGACCATATGAGAGGGGCTTCAAGTTCCAAATGCAGAATACAGAAGCTACAGTCTTCATGGTGGCAATGTAAGCGAAAAGAAGTCTTTGAAGAATTGGTCTCATTTTGAGAGAAAATTGTAAACAGACATGGCGATTTGGAGAAAGTTGTGCAAGGGGAGCCCCGGGATCCCACGCAATGAGATGCTTTGACCAGGGATCAGGCCTCCTCGATACCAAGGCTGGAAAGATGCTTTTTGGTCTGAAAATATTCGGAGGACCGCACATCTGCCCGCAGAACCGACGATAAGGTGCTGGTCTCGATGGATTTCCGCTTGATCACAGCACGTTGAGTCCAACCTGTTGCAACATAAAACCGATTATTTAGAATGAAGTTTGTGAGCAACTGATATGATCGAAATCATTTGATCGATTCCATTGAATCATACAACGGCCTGCAGGTCCGAATTTATCCTAAGGCCAATCGACGGAGTTTAGTTGGGGTGACACGGCCCGCAGCCGATTGGCTACGGATTCACCACCAAAATACTTTACCACGTCCATCCTGTGGCACATGGCATGCGGGGAATCAGCCAGTCAGCAGAGACTATTACGAATCCTGCCCAATTACCAGAAGGCCCAAATGCAGCCTCCCATGTATCGCAATTGTAGACGCGAATTTGAGCCACTTGAGTGGGATATCACATCATTCGGGCGATGAGCGGTGAGGCTGACTGCAGGTGATATGTGAAGAATATGGCTTCATAAATCCCGTCCCCACTTGGCCCAAGCTAGTCGTAATGCCTCCTTACACTCAGCTTCCTCAACTCACGATCGCTTTCCTCAAACCTCCATGATGAGCGAGAGAACACCAAACTTATCATCTCTGCCACCAGAGTTGCATCTTTTCATACTCCAAGAGCTTGCCAATCTATGCAATGAAGACTACGCAGCAAGACCCGGGATGGGCGCTTACGCCAGTGTCTGCAAGAGCTGGCAGATGTTCTTCGAACCGCTAGTCTTCCAACACTTCACCCTCGCTCGAGAAGATTTATTCGAATTCAGACAAGTCACCCAAGACAACAGGAGACGGAGTCTGGTCCGGCATATTTGGCTCAGACTAGAAGAGCCGTCGGCGCTCCAGCATTCAGAGCTGGGCCTCGAACAATACAAATGGAGTCAACCATACTTCACCGACATCATTTGGAACCTGTGGACAACCATATCCCAATGGAAGGTTGCAGACCTGGCAAAATTTGGTGGTCAACAGGGTTTGACGCTCGAACTCTCTTCTCACAAGTCCTTTCCGATGCAGGAGGATACATTCATACCGCGAGAGGATTACAGGGCGTACTCCCAATCTCTTGGCAACGGATTATCTGCAGTTTACAAAACAGTAAGCAAGTACTACTTCAACGCCCCTCTTTATGGCGGGGATCTTAGTACAAAAGCCAAGAGAGACTTGTTTTGCAAAGGGGTTAGAGTCGACAGCAAGCCTCTTCCCAAGGTGGAGGTTGTGACTGGGTTCTTCACCAGGAGAGCATACACGCAGAATGTCCGACCAGAGGTTCTCTTCTTGATATTCGACAGTCTTCCTAGGGCGAGAGACATCAGAATTGAACGGTGGCGACATGGACTGGTAGCCTGCGAAAATGAGTGGCGCAATGGTAAGTTGGACTGCAACGCTAGAGAAGCTCCCTGCATCGACTTTGCTAAACACAGCCCTTATTCTAGGGATGCAAATTGACCTTCCACATCATATTCCCGCTTCCCTAGAAAAGCTAGCTATCTTCGAAGAGAAAGGGCCCCGAAATGGCAGATTCAATTTGATCCCGAATGACAAGTTGACCGAGTCCGTCATTCTGGGTACACTTCATCTCAAGCGCCTATTTCTGTGTTTCTTCATCAACGGAGATGAATTCTTCCAGAAACTCTCAAAGTCTGATATTACGCAACGTTTTTCTGGACGAGGGTATCAGGAGCTTACTTCCCTGACCCTGACTTCTCTTCGCCTGAAAGCTAAGATTGACGGAAATTGGGACATGCTGACATGGCGCGATGGAGTGATCGAACTGCTTCAGATGGCTGCTACAGCGACTAAACTCATGCCGAAACTACGATTGATGGAAGTTTGGAATGGTGGCGATGGGAATGCCAGCATCTTTCGATATGAAGTCATTGACAACAAGGGTGAAATCAGTTGGCAGAGCACACAAAATTGCGACCCGTTTGAGCAAGAGGTCATCGAGGCTTGGGAAAAGGTTGCTCAGGATCATGGACTAAGTGGACTGACGGTTCGCCCGTCGACACTTCTATCGGGAGAATTTACGTATTACGGCTCGATCATTCCTCTCCTGAAATCCCAGGAGGAGGTGCTTCATCCCATGTCTGTGGCTCAGATGACTTAGAAGAGACTTGACAACTCAGATGCTTCATCCAAATGGATAGCTTATTGGGAGAACTATACACTATTCAGATAAAGATCTTCAACCTGAAGCGTGCTAACCCACCATCTACACCAGGGTGGTAGCATCCTTCGATCTTCTGGCTTATCGGGGCATCCTGACTGCATAAATTGTGGGTCAGCAGTATCTCGCGCCAACCCCTCTTCAACACCATCTTGGGACCATCCATGGATGCTTAAACGACCACCTAGAGTTGGCGCAAACAAGTCAACGGCCTGACTACAAATCAAACTGATGTAAAGAGATGGCCCAGTGTCACGATGCTGAGGGCGCAATACTGTGCGATAGATGTTCTGTCATCAGCTTCAACGATGGAGACCTATTCGGATCTCACGTTGACGATAGCGGTCCGACTCGATGGCAGCTGCCATTTGACCTTACTGATGACGGACCCGAGTTTCCACAGTTAAGACAAAGCGCCAACAGTGGCTGCAACTTTTGCGCTCTATTGCTTCAAGAAATCATTGCAGAGTTTCAAGATGTCGAGGCTCACAGGTATCGAGTCAAGTTGAACCTCTATTACCACTGGGAGCAGCATAGCCCTTTCCGACTGGCTTTCTTAGTGGTAGAAGCACCATGGTGGACAGGAAAAGATGTCACAGAGCCAAGTGTGTCTCTCCAGTATGTTCGACTTGTTTTCGAAGTCGAAACAGACCATAGTGAGTTTTGCGTTGGAACATTTAGGCCGAGAAACATTATTAAGGATGAAACTCTGACCATCTTGTAGAAATTGTGCAGAATTGGCTGAAGGTTCCTAGTCTCCGAAAGAAGCAGGTGCTATGCGAAGAAAACATCGACTTCATGAGGCATGCCATCAACAACTGCAAAAGTTCGTGCAGCCACACTGTCGCTTCTAAGCATTTGCCCACAAGGCTGCTTGACGTCAAGCCCAATGAGAAGGGGGTGGTACGCCTGCTGGAAACCTCTGAAGTCAGTTCACGCACAGAACTCAACGATAAGACTCACGATTATGTCGCATTGAGCTACTGCTGGGGCTCAGAGGATGATACAACTTCTCAAATCTCGACAACCAGAAACGTCTTATTTTCCCACAAAAGAGGTATCAAAGAAGAACACCTGCCTCAAACATTAAGAGACGCAGTACATGTCTGCCGGGCGCTTTCAGTAAGATCTCTATGGGTAGATTCTCTCTGCATTGTTCAGGACGACATAGAAGATTGGGAGAAGGAAAGCGCCTCGATGGGTCTCATATACAACAATGCACTTCTCACGATTATTGCTGCGTCTTCGAATTCATGCCACGACGGCTTTCTACAAAGAGAACGCAAGAACATACAAGTATCCTTCTCATCTCGGATAAATCCAAACCTGAGCGGCCATTTCAATCTTCTGTTCTCTGGCAAGACCTATGCCCCGCACACACTCGACATCTGGTGGCCAACGAGAGACATCAACGATGCGAAGTGGGTCAAACGCGGATGGACGCTGCAAGAGGAGATGATGTCCAACCGACGTCTTATTTTCGGACAGTTCATGGTTCACTTCCAATGCGAGGCTGGAACCAAATCCGAGAACGGATATTCTAGTGACAAAACAATCGGTAGTGGCTTGTCCATGCAGAGTCTTGTGAGAGGCAGCACTGAAAGTACTAAACCCAGCATGTTCAGGGTATGGCACTGGATGCTGGTAAACTACACAGAGAGATCCTTTACCATACCGCAAGACGTTTTACCAGGCATATCCGGTATCGCGGGGCTCTTTGCAAATCATCACGGCCTTCCTCAAGAATCCTATCTCGCGGGAATCTGGAGAGAGGATTTCGAGTATTCTCTTATATGGTGGAAAGACTCCGAGTTCGGGACCGAAGACTTTGCGAATATTCAAGAACTCGCACTGGCTCTTTGCAATCCGTCAACCTATCTAGCACCGTCCTGGAGCCCACTAGGGCAACGACCAGTTACAAGTTTGACGTTGATGGGGATCTTCAGCAGCGACTTCACACCAGAGTGTCTCATTGTTGACGCTTCCACAACCGCAAAAGGAGCGAATCCATTTGGTCAAGTGAAATGTGGGAGTTTTACTGCAGAAGCAAAATTTGGAGCTGTTCCCTCAGAACTTGTCCTCGGCCATTGCAGTGGGTTTGATATGACGAACTGGCAATTAAGGCAAAACGGAAGAGTTCTGGCTTATTGCTTCATTGGAATGCTAAAGAGGACGACACATAAGGCAGATGGTTTGTTCATGCTGATGATCGGAAGCTCGAATGCGCAGGAAGACTGGTTGCACAAGGTACGGAATGTCTTGGATTATGCGGAAGACGACTGCTCAATTTGCAACTTCAATATTGAGAAGGAGTTCGAGACCGAGGCGTTCGAAAACGATGTCATGGCTCGCGCTGATGGCGATACTGCCATAAAGGGAGGTTCTGAGCACGATGAAACAGAAAATCTGAGCCCAGGGAAGCAAGAGAAAGACTATTGGGGCATTTTGCTACATCCCTCTCAAACACCGGGGCAGTATATTCGAGCGGGCGCCTGGCTATCTTCGGCATACGACAGACGGAACTCGACCTTCTTTGAAGAACTGGAGACTCGTAAAATCGTGGTAACATAGACAATCACTGTACTCGATACTTCACCGAGCTCTACACGGAGTCGCGGACTCGGCGGTCTCCAGGGACATCTGATCTGTTGCAGTGCCGCATTCCTAGTATGCAACAAAAACAATATTCCATGACAAAACCGAAGCCTTTGTTAAAAAGAGTCAAATGCAATTACGTTCAAAAAAGCGAAGACGGAGAAAAGTTGCAACCCCAACACGAACGTATCATACACCTCACACCAAATTGGCTCAAACCATACCCATCGCAGTTCCCTCAAACAAGTCAGCCCACCTCTTTCCAGTCCGCGGAGCGTTGCACTCGGTCGCATCCACACAAACATTAACAGGATTTGTCCCATCCCCACAGCAGTTGCCCGTCAAGCAAACCTTGCCCTCACCACACGGCTTCTCCTGACTGCACTGGTTCTCCTCCAGACACGACCCCGTCCTGAACGCAATGCCTCCCCCGCCGAGCATCGACCCGCAAAAGCAGTTGGAGCCTGCAATCGAGGACTCGGGCGGGTAGAACTTGCTGCCCTCCGAGAAGATGCAATTTCCCGGATTCGGGCAGCAGGCCATGACCGTCGGGTCCGTGATGTTTCGGTCGTATTCTGGGGTGGGCGAGGGGATGGTCGTGATCTCGGCGAGTCTGGAGGGAGTTGTGGTGGTGCCGGCTGTGAAGGCAAGATTCAGGGGCTGAGAGGAGGTCTGCAGGTATCGGCAGACCTGGGTCTGGATCGTGGTCAAGCCGTAGCCCTCAATTAGGTCTCCCATCCCAGATCCGGCTTGGGATGTCGAGTTACCGAAGGTTGAGGCAGAGTAGTCGTAAATTCCAAGAAAGCTACCGATCACGTCTAGGAGACTTTGGCCACGGTCCGTATCAACATTCAGCCCGGCATCCACAAAAGGTTTGAGCAGTTCCCGAAGGTTAATCACGTTTCCAAGTTCCTGGGAGAAGAGACTCCACATGGACATCATTGAAGGGCAAGTCCCGTCCAGCGATCCTTTCGTTAGGTGATCAAGTGTCTGCTCGACTGAAGTCTCACAGTCTCCTGCAGGACCGCTACCCCCAGGCCAGGAACAAGTAGCAACAAAGTCGCCCTCTTTGGGAACAACCGCACAGGGATTGTCTCCCAAAGATACAGCAACTGGCAACTCATCGCGCGCGGCGTTCCCGCACTGGTCTTTGAGACGAAGCAGCACATCGAACGCTCTGGCCTGTCTCTTTCCCAGAGGTCTCCCAGAGGGAGTGTCGAAGAAAGCTGCGCCGGCAGTAGTGCACCCAGCCAAGCTGTTGATCTGACTGAAGAATCCAGAGATGAAGACATCAATCTTCGGCGAGCAATCAGCGGAAGCAAAATGTAGACCCTGACTATCGATGGACAGCGTGTTGCCGTCTTTGTCGATGATTGCCAGCTTTGCGGGGTCGGATACATCGATGAGGACAGGGTCTGATATGCTCTCGTTCATGAGCCGGATATACTTGACGGAGTTGGTGGTATTGTCCAGGTAGAAGGCATCGATGTATGGCGCGGTCTTGCCTTGGGTGTCTAGCTTGGACTCGTGCAGGGACTCTGTAGGAGAGGGGAGAGTGTAGCATGTGCTCGCGTTTTGAGATGCCACGATCGAAATGCCTGTGAAGGCGGAGTCGAAGGCGCTGGATGTTGATGAGGCCGTAGCTGAGGATAAACTTGAGGAGCTAGTTGCGGTGGCATTTTGTGACCCAGTGATGGTGGCAGTTCCGATGAGAGTCCAGATCGAGACGCGACCATCGGGGAGAGTGCTTGTCAGAGTGACTGCGTCGCCAGTTGGAGTGGAGGCAGGTGTGGTGGTTGCGCTTGGGCTGAGAGTTGAGCCATCTGAGACCGTCCATGTAGATGCAGCGCCGTTGATGATACTTGTGATGACAATGACTTGACCCGTAGGAGTTGGCGTGGCGCTCGTTGTGTTTGAAGGTGGAGGTAGAGTCACGCCGTCTGAGATGATCCAAGTTGATGCTCCGCCGCCGATGACGCTGCTAATGACGGTAATAACGCCTGGACCGTTGCTCGAGAAGGGAATTGGAAGGAGCGTTGAGCCGTCTGAGATCGTCAAAGTGACTGGCTCGCCATTGACGGTACTGGTGATAGTGATGATCTCCCCAGTTGAAGTCGGGGTTTGCGTAAGGGTTGATGTGGTGTTCACAGGACCAGACAATGTCGATCCATCGGATACAGTCAAGGTCGTAGCCGCACCACTGATGATCGTTGTTATGACGATGACCCCAACTGTCGGAGTAGGGCTTTGAGTTGAAGTCGTCGTTGTACTCGTTGGGGTTGAAAGAGTTGATCCATCGGATACGGTGACCGTGGTTGGTTCTCCGTTAATAATGGTGGTAATAA